AGGAAGGTGGTGAGCAAGGCTGTGGTCAAGGCACGCAGGCGTGATCACACTTAGTAGTACTGGAGGGGAGGAGTCGCACCTCCCGTGAAGTTGGGGTCGACTCGCTCGAGGGCGTTCCAGCCGTAGGTGGCGCCCAAGTAGTCCTCTCGCACGCGCAGCGCCTCCTTCTTCTGGTGCCTTGACTGGGGCTTCTCGTCACTCTTCTTCTCGCTCCAGTACTTACTCAACTCCAGGATCTCAATCGGCCCTGGTGTGCGATGGTGCGTGCGATGTGGTGTGTGTGTGTGTGTGTGGTATGCGTGAGGAGGAGTAACAAGACAAGCCCCGAGCTTTACAGTACACCTTCGTCAACAGCAGCAGCCAGGAGGTTGAGTGCCATGAAGAGAATCTGCCTGCCAGTGGAGGAAGAGAGAGAGAAGAGTTAAGTGGCGAGCTACGCGACACCAAACACACGAGCAGGGCTCTCTTTCACTCTTCTGAGCTAACCTGGAAAGCTGCTTCCAGGGGATGTGGGCGGAGAGGCTGATGTAGCAGGCGGCGAGGCCGTCGGCGCACTCCCGGTGCAGGAGGCGGGCGTGGCGGGGCTGGGAGAGGAACTCCCACGCCTTGCGGCGGAAGGCCTTCTCGGCGTCGGCCCGACGAGGCGACAACGACGGCGTGAAGGCTGGTGACGATGGGTTCTCGGGGCAGGACTCGACGACGTGCTCGACGAAGGCCACCAGTGCCACGGCGTCCTTCTTCGAGAGCTGCCGCTCCTTGTGCAAGAAGTCGAGTGTCACAAATCGATTGATAACCTCCTGCACGCCCGCAGTTTCTTCTCCTTGCTGCTGCACTGAAGCGCCTCCCGTTGTGGTGACTTCAGTCGTCTTCGCATCTCCTGCTTTCCCACCGGCACCCGCATGTACGGCTTGTCTTCGCCCCATCTTTCTTCTGCTCCTCCACGGCCTTTTTCTCTTCAGGTTTCTTTTTGCTTCTTTTGGGGACGCATCTCGCCACGCGAGCGAGGCAGGCCGGCACGATGAAGGAGAAGATGACGTGGCTGGTGCGGCAGCTGCCGCCTTTCCGACCGCATGAATGGTGGATGTGGCTCTACTGGATCGGCGCCGGGGCAGCTGCTGTCAAGCTCGGCTACGACCGCTGGCCCTGGTTCTCCCCAAATCGCAACAAGAACAAACAGAACCCACCACTCGACACGCCCTGAAGGAGCCTAGCGCGGTCCACTCGCCTCGACCCCAATGTGTAAACGCCTCCAACAAGAAGAATAAAAAAAGAACGAAAATAAACAAATCTCAATAAAAATAACAAACGGAGATGGAACGCAACGCAACGGGCGGGGAGGTTGAAGATGAGCAAGCATCGGCAGAACTGCAGGCTCGCTTGGCCCAGGCGATCGTGGCCGACTTTGGACACCTCATGGCGCCTGTGGTAGATTACGATCTCGACGATGAAGATGAAGATGATGATGCAGTAAAGGGAAATGGAGGAGCGAGCAAGAAGCGCAAACGCGCGGCCACAGAAGACGAGGGCGTAACAGGAAAGCATGGGGAAGAAGATGACAGAGCCAAGAGGGGCACGGGGCGGGCGACGGGCAAGGGAGGAGCGTGCGAGGGGTGCGGAGCTGAATCCAAGTACCGGTGCCCGCGGTGTGACTGGCGATCGTGTGGGGTGGCCTGCGTGCGCCGTCACAAGGAGGAGACGGGCTGCAGTGGCCTCCGCGATCGGACGGCCTACGTTCCGCTTCGGGCCATGACCGACACTCACCTCCACTCGGGTACTCTTCCTCCTGACCCAAAGGGGTCTCTCCTCTGAGCGTCACTGAGAACTGATGCTTGCGTTCGGCTGGCTGTCGCAGACTTCAACTTCCTCCAGGACTGCATGCGTGTGGCCGATGTGTCACATCTGAACAAGCCCAAGATGAACAGCATCATCTCTAAGCGGTATGCCACTATCTTCTTGACCACATGCGGTCACCTGTGTATTGGTGGTTGTGCTGATTGCCTTGCGGTGGTGGGGTGGCCCCTAGGTTTCGCATCTTCCTCTACCAGTGCCGACGGCGGCGGGTGAGGGTGCAGCTGCTGCCGCAGGGCATGGCGAAGCGAAAGCAAAACACTTCCTACTACAGCATCAAGTGCGTCTCCTCCCCGGGCGACTGAAGGCTCCTCCCTCCGGCCGAGAGATGTTCAAACGGCAAGCTGGAAGACTCACAGCAAACTTTCGCGAGCAGGGACGACACGATGCTCTGGCGCGTCGAGTGGCGGTTCCCGTGCGCTGCCGATTCCAAGCTCTTCTCCGACAGGTACCCACCTTACCCAATTGTAAGCTGTGTGCTCAAACTTGCCTTACATATCATCGCCGCACCAGGGTGTCAGAAACGACGACTCTGCACGCAGCCCTGTCCAGTGCGCTGTCCGACCCCAAGCGTTAGCTTCCCTCCCAGTTGCACCATCCGTATTGGAGTGTCAGTTCCTGAACTGAACTGACCCCTTTCTTTGCCCCACAGGCGGAGCAGGGGAGAGCTAGCCCAGTACTCGCAGTTGCCCGCTGAGAGGCTGTGTTTCATCATGCGCGTAGAACGACTGCCCGTGCGCCCTCTCCTTCACCCCACTTTGGCCTGCCCTGCGTTACTAACGGATGGGCCCGCTGGAACAGGCCAACGAGGTGAAGTACTTCCGGTTCGCGGGCGGTGACACGCTACGATCCGTGCTGGAGGACACGGAACTAGTCGAGTTCCCCACTCTCCTCGTTCTCACCGACGACGGGCTGGCCCAAGCAGCCTACAGCATCGTGGACAAGAAGGACGTGCGGAATCTGCAGAGGCGAGCAGAGAAGGGCAAGGATCAGCAGTCTGGCCATGCAGGCGGCGAGCCACAGGCAGACCTCTATCGAGAAGCCAAGAATGAGATAGGAGCTGCCGTTGCTGTTCCGCCAACGCCCGAACCCACGCCCGCCGGCGCAGAAGAGGACGATGATGAAGAGGAAGGCTTTGCCTTTGCTACCCTTGTCGATTACTGACGAGCTGCTGGTGAGCCCAACGGCTCCCCTTTTTTTGGCGCGAAAATGTTTGGCGCGCTTTGGTTGTTACCCACGAGTTGGTGGATTGCCGTTTGGAATCAATCAATCGATTTACCTTGCGGATACCTCGGACCTGAAGTGGTGGTGAGGTACAGAACGAACAAGGTATAATCACCATCAGATTTGGAACATGGCAACTCGCCGCGGCAGAGCCGATGAACCCATGGAGGAAGAATTGCCTCGGCTCAATGAGCTTCAGCAAAAGGAACTCAACATGCTGGTGGAGGGGCTGGGCGGCTGGGATGAAGACACATGCCCCGAACCGGTCTACATCAAGCACCCCGACGCCCTAGGTACCAGATTTTCTTTGTGCCATGTAGCATCGATCGATCAGCTCACCGTGGGCTACCAGAGTACGTGAAGGATCTCCAGCGATGTCTACGTAGGGAGGACCCGCAGATGCGAATAATCACCCTGCAGCTCGGTCGCTGGCGATTTGTGAGCCGGCATCTGCTGCCGCTTCTCATCAGCTGCTCCACCACTGGCGAGCAGGACTTGGCGTCTGCCATCGGTACGTAGGAACGTCGTGGCGCTCCCCTTCCCCTTCTTGGATGATGCGTTTGCTAAGCGAAGACGTTCTCGTTCTTAAACTCTGCAGTGAAGTTGTTGGTCACTCTCACGATGCCGCTGCCGCGCACGGTGGGCGAGCGTGTGCGCAACGAACACCTAAGCTGGATGCAGGAGGCCAAGGAGGGCTTCGCGCACAAGCATGTGATGGTGGCGATCATGACGTTCCTCGCCGAGCCGCTCATGGACCGCCATGAGGAGCACAACAACAACCTCATCGAGCTCGTCCTCACTCTCTTCCGCAACCTTCTCCTCATTCCCGACGGCAACCCCTCACCTACAGCTTCGAGTACCGACTACCGAGCTCACCTTCACGATCGCCTCGTGCTTCTCTTCCACTCGGTATGTCCAGCCTGGAGTCGTCTTGCCCAATCATCTCGTCGACCTAACACTGTGCGTGTGCGGTGGCGCGTACGTGTGCGTCTCTAGGAGGACGTGTTCAGCCTGCTCATGCTGGTTGGCCAGACGATGGATAGCTCGAGCCGGGGCTGGAACCTGCTGGTGCTGGAGATCCTCCACCTGCTCCTTCGGTGGGAGACACCGCAGAGCATCTGGGGCCACTACATGAAGGCCCACACGACGGCAATGCGGGCCGACCTGGTCGGCGAGGACGAGCGCGACGGCGACGAGGCCGAGGACGAAGAAGCCGAAGAGGAGCGCCGACAGGCTGTGGTGCGCAAGATGAGCCAACTCACGACGGCTTCTCGGTTGCAGGAGCAGTTCAGGGTACCGCATCCACTCACAAGGTATTTGACTCTCTGAAGCTGACATTGCTCCATCATTGGCAACAGTTGGAGAAACAGCAGAAGAGCATCATGCAAGCGGCTTCTCCCACACGTCACTCCCGCTTTGGTGGGACGTACTGCCGCATCACCAAGGTAAGGGGATCGGCGCTTTGTTGTTCAGCACCCGCACCTTCATTGCGCGCCATCGACGGCACAGCTGATTTTATGTTCTGCTGGCAGGATGGCAGACAGCGCGTGCTCAACAAGTCGGTTCACGAGGTCACCAACTCCGTTCTTGGTCGCATCATCGAGAAGAAGAAGCGGGGCATCGCCCGCTCTCACGGCATCCAGCTCAAGAAGATCAAGAAGACCGCCACCCGCCACTCCTCCCTCGGTACATATCCTCTACATGTCTAGGATAGTCGCCCTAGCCCTGTTGCCCCACCGAGCTGACGACACGCCTCTCCGGCGCGTGCGCAGAGGGGCTCATGGCGTTGAAAACCTTCGTGGGCGATTTCCTGGACAAGGGCTGCTACAACAGTACGTCACGTCGTCGACTCCTTCACTTTGCTGGGATGATGTGCCCCGAAGGGCATTCTCCTGACCTCTTGTCTGGCAACAACAATAGAGTTGCTGGAGGCCGTGGGCGAGGACATCGAGGCCAGGGTCGAGCGGCTGCAGAGCTACGACGAGATCAACTTTGTGTGGATGGTCTCCTTCTTCACCGGCTTCCAGCGCCTCCGCAACAGCCACCGCGAGCAGTTGTCCGATAGCGCGTCGACTGGAGCCGGTGCTGCTGCCGGCTCCCCGCTCCCGGCGCCGAGCGACGACCTGTACGACGACGGCGAGGACATACTCGCTGCCATGACCGGCAAGAAGCCGTCCGTGGCCGATCCCGACGCGTACGACGCGGCCAACATCGACGACGACAAGGGCCCCGACGCCGAGAACGCCAAAGAAGGAGACCACATTGATGGAATGGACGTCGCAGCTGCGACAGCCGACGCGCCGCCAACGCGCAGACTCAAGGCCGACCCGACCAAGGCCCAGCGCCTGCTGCTCCTTGGCCCCGTGGCGGCCGGCATCGAGTTTGACGTTTTCCACTTTGTCGCTCGCAAGCTGAACGACTACGTACACGACAAGCAGTGGGAACAGACCGAAGTCGCCCTGCGTGCCGTCAAGGAGATCGTACGTCGGCTCTCATAGGTGAGCTGGAGGCTCTCAACCTTTACTCACACGGTTCGTAGGTGCTCTGGGTGAACTGGATGCGCGAGGAGCCCCTCACGGTGGTGGCCGGCAACGCCCTGCTGTCCAACATCATCTACAACCAGGAGCACTTCCTCTCCGTCTTCGTTCAGGTGCTCAAGATCTACAATGCCGCCAAGGCTCCACTCTCGTACGTCGCCCGACATCTGTAGCTTTTCGAGCGCTTCTTCCTGGCGGTGAACTGACGGCGTTGCGTTTTCCTCCCAGGCTGCTCCGTGATACGGTCGAGGCGCTCATGGTCCTTCTCTCGATGACCGAGGACTACGCCAAGCGCTACAACGGACGCGTCTACGTTCGCGCTCCTTCGCACAGGGCCGCCTCGACGCGAGGTACTGCCTGGCGGCCATATATGTCATCAAGCGCGGGGTAGGCGTGTTGGCATGAAACCGGGTTTCTGACGGTAGGCGCGGGGGCGGGTTGGTTGGTGATTACAGGGGGCTCAGACGAGGAGGAAGACGAAGAGGGCGAAGAGAAGAAGACCTCGCGCGCCGATGATACCGGAGCGGATGACGTGCTGCAGCTGGGGCGCCTCATCGGCAACATCGCCAACAACGCGATCATCACCAACTGCCTCCTCCTGCTCAAGTACCACCGACTCAACCCGTACGCACCCCGCCCCACTCCCACAAGCCGACGACCATCCACCACGCTCAAGACGCTCACGTTGGGCACCTCTGCAGAGCGGAAGTGAACCGAAGCGTGGTCGCGCTCTTGAAGAGGCTCGCCATTGACAACGGCGACGAATACCGCGCCTTGTTCTACCGGTACGGGGCACCACACGAGCGTGCAGCGAACTACTCCAGATCTGACGTGTCGTGTGCCGTGTCGTGTGTGTGTTCCTTTCTCGCAGGCTGGCGATCGTCAAGCAGCTGCACGACGTGCTGGCCGAGCCCGAGTTCCTGTACGCGCAGGCCCTGCGCTCCCACAGTCGCACGCTTTACGCGGCGGGCGGGCTCGAGGGCCTGGACCAGGTGGCCCAGACCATCGTCAGCGGAATCGCCAAGCTGGCCGCCACCGACCCCTTCCACTACATCTACCTCCTCTTCCAGAAGCCCCGCGCCGACGTCACCTTCCAGTCGCTGGCCCTCGCCCAGACCCACCCGGACGACTGTACGCATACTCTCATCGACCCTACGCTTCATTACGTTCTCTTCTTCGACTCACGTTGATTGTTCGTTGTTTGTTGTTTGTTGGCTGCCAGCTGGCGACGAGGAGGAGCGTCGATCGGCTGCGGTTGGTCCCAGGAAGGCCCGGAAGGCCAAGAAGGCCGCGAGTACCCGGGAAGACGGCACCAGGCAGTGGAACGACGCCGAGGACCAGGTGTTGCGAGAGCTCATGAGCACGTACGTGCCCTCCCTCCTCTTCCTCGCTCTCTTCTTTGAAGCGCTTTGTCTTCTTGGCTGATCGAATCGACACCTCCAGCTTTGATGATCTGCCAATCGACAAACTGTTCCAATTCCTCAGCAACGGGCTGCCGGTATGATTACACTTCTTCTTGGACTCAAGAGTAGAGGGGTGTGTGTGTGTGCACGATAGCGTACGCGTGCAGGCGCCTTCAATATACTCACCGTGCTCGTTGTCTCTTCTTCTTTTTCTTCTTCTCTTTTGCAGGGCATTCGCGAACTCGACATCGGCCGACGTCTGGTAGCTCTTGGTCTCCTGGCCGAAGAGAGCTTCGCCTCCAAGTTCCCCGCCGCTTCCTCTGCCCAGAGAGAGGTACCCCTCCCCCTCCATCTATGGGCGCCTCTTCTCCTTGGCTCGACTCTCACACATCGTCGCCCTTCTTCATGAATCCTCCGCAACAGGGCAAGGACGCCAATTCCCTGGCGGATGTGTTCGGCGGGTCGGATTCGGATAGCGATGATGCGCACGAAGAGCCGGACGCCGGGTCGGCTGCCAAACGCAGGGATCAGCAGAAGCAGAAGCAAAAGCAGCAGGACAAGGCGGCCGTGGTTCACCAAAGCACCAAGACGCCCACCAAGATGCGCACTGGTGGCGCCAGCACGCCCTCGCGAAAGCCGAAGCCCGCGCCGAGGTGCGAACTGGTTCCTGCTCCTGTGCCCATGTCACACACGTGCTCACTCATACCACGGTACATTGTGTGCAGACGATCTGCTGCCAAACCCGCCAAGGACTTCTCATCTGATGACGATGACGATGACGACGAGAACGACGAGAACGACTGGAACTCGCACAACATCGCGTCCGCTGCTCGCGGTAACAAGCGTTCGCTGTCATCACTGTGTAGCTCAGAGGACATTGAAGAGGAGGTCCTCATGATGAAGCTCAATAACCTGGCCGACGATTCGGAGGGCCTGCCTGCTCTGCAGTGGCTCAAGGTACCCCATGGCCACCAACGCCACCGCCGCACCATCACACTCTAACTTCCGCCGGTCTCGTGTGCGTCGTTGCAGGCCCAAATGCAGAAGTGCGTCAGGGAGAGGAAGAAGGCGGAGAAGAACGACGACGTGCTGGCCGGGTTCGTGCTGCGTGCATCGGAGCGTGGGAAGCGCAACGAGTTCCTCTTCCTGGAGCTCAAGTGGCTGGGTCGGGTCATGAGCGAGCTGGGCTTCCGGTATAAAGAGAAGAAGGGCGTGGTGCCCTACTGGAAGATTCCCTCGGCGCTCTCGGCTCGCAGCCTCGAGAATCGCATCGCCATCCTCGACGCCGCGCAGGACAGCATCACCGCCGAGCGAAAGCAGCAAGCCGCCGTTGTACCCAGCCGCCGCGATCTCTTGGCCACGCTGAAGCGCAAGCGACGAGAACGCAACAACGTAGACGACAGCAAGGACGAGGACGAGGATGCCGCCAAGAGCGACAGCGAGCGTGACGGAAGCGACGACAAGCAGAGGGACGCGGTGGTCTCTCCGGCCAAGAGGAGGAAGCTCCTGCGCAGGAGCAACGTGGCTCCTGCTGCCCAGGGGGACCTGCTTTCCTCTGAGCTCGAGGAGGCCATCCTCGACGACCTTCTGTAGTAACATCAAAGAATCGCGATTCATTCAACGGTTTGAACAGGGCTCCTTATTGGCGCTGAGAAAGCAAAGAGGGAGAGGGAGAGAGAAGGCGACTAGATGAAGCCGCCGCGGCCACCTCGGCCACCGCCACGGGAACGGGACAGGGGCGGGGAGGAGATGTCGCCGAAGGGGCTGCGGCCGAACATGGCGGCGCTTAGCCCGCCCAGGAAGCGGCCGCCTCGGCCCCGACCGCGTCCGCCGCGAGCGAGCAGGTCCTGGATGTTGTCCTCCTGGTCGAGGTCGGCGTCGATGGTCTTGGTGTGGGTGATGGCGTAGAGCAGGCGCTCGCGCATCACCTGCACGCTCGTGTAGGCCGGGAGCTTGATGTTGAAGAAGCAGGTCTCGGCGTGCGGGAGGCGGACGTCGGCGTTGTCGCACGGGAAGGGGAAGATCTTCATGGGCTCGTTCTTGAGCTCGGCCTCGGAGGGCAGCCGCTGGCGACCCCAGGCGAACCGCAGGAACAGCATCCGCTCGTGGTGGCCAAAGTCCTCCAGCACCTTCCAGAAGTGCCGGATGTGCGCGTCCTGCTCCGTCACGCCCGCCCTGTACCTCGTATTCCTGCACGTGATGTCACACGCGACGATTAGGCCATGCAACACACACAACACACGCAACACACACACACCACACAACACAGGGAGGCGTGTTGGACGAACCTGCGAAGGACGTCGAGGTTGATTTCGGTGCGGCCGCAGATGCGCATCTCGAGGTCTTGCCAGGTGAAGAGGTTGAGGAGCGGCGTGGGCACCAGGGTGCTGACGCCCTTGACGAGGGCCTTCATCTGGGCGTCGCTCTCGTGCAGTCGCGTCTGCTGCGCCAGCGCCACGTACTCCTTCCGGTCCTCGTACGTCAGCGGCCTCTCCTTGCCGCCCGGCACCAGCTCAACCTGCGTGTGCACCCGAAGTCAGCCTCCGCACATTACCGCACAAATCATGCGCACACCGCACACGCCCACCGCACACGCACACGGAGGGAAGGGAGACGCACGATGGTCTTGTCGCTGAGGCTGGTGGTGAAGTTTTCGAGGATGGAGGCCTGGAAGAGGTCTTTGTCCATCTCGGTCATGCGCTGCAGGGACTCCATGGTGGAGTAGTCGATGGCCTTGAGGTCCTGCAGCGTCGGCTCCACGCCCACCAGCGGCTTCCAGAACAGGGCCGGCAGGTTGAGCGACAGAATGCTCTTCGTGCGCGCTGCACAACGCAATTCATGGAATGGCAAACATGTATGGAATGCGATCAGCGACTCGTCGCGTAGTGGTGGTGGTGGTGAAACCGGTGGGTATGGGTATGGGCTCGGCGCGTACCTGCGATGCCCATGAGCTTGCCCAGGAACTCGAACATGCGGAGGTGCTCGGGCGAGTTGGACGAGGGCTTGAGGATGAACTTGTCGCGGTTCTCGCCCACGCCGATGGTCTGCATGGCCTGCTGGCGGTTCGGGCACGGCACGAACAGGGGCAGCACCTCCTCCGGCTGCTGCTGCTGGTCCGACTGCTGCTCACCGGTGGACGTCGACGTGGAGGTCGACGTCGAGGTGCTCTCACTGCCGGGCTCCATGGCCTCTTCGGGCTGCAGCTCGGAACACAGCTGCGAGATCGTCTCCTGGTACGGACCGACTAAAATGGACGTGGAATGTGTGAGGAATGTTAGAGGAGGAGTGAAAAAAGGTGACGTTCGGCCGTACCTTCGCCTTCGACGCGTTCGCCGCGGAGGGTGACCTTGAACGCGCGCTCGTTCTGGCGGAGGCACGCCGGGTCGAGGTGGCCCAGCTGCTTGTAGACCTGCATGAACACCGTCTTCTCCTGCGACGCCGCGTCGGCCGACATCGACAGCTGTCCTCCCAGCCCCGGCCTGCCATGTGTTGTCTGTGGTGAGCGCCGTGTGGCGTGTGTGGCGTGTGTGGCGTGTGTGGCGTGTGTGGCGTGTGTGGCGTGTGTGGCGTGTGTGGCGTGTGTGGCGTGGTGGCGTTGGGCGTGTGTGGCGTGTGTGGCGTGTGTGGCGTGGTACGTACGCGTTGAGGAATGCGAGGCTGTCCCTGGAGCTCCTGAGTACGGTCTTGAGGCGCGAGATGGAGATGGAGGGAGGAGGGCGGGTGGCAGCAGTGCGGGCGAGGATGGAGTCGAGGAATTCGACCTTGGTGAGGTAGAAGATCAGGTGCCGCAGCAGGCTCAGCTTCCGGGCGAGGCTGCCCTCCACCGCGTGCTGCGTGAGGTCGACGAACGGGAGGGCCTTGCTCACCAGCACGTTGAACTGCTGGACGCACAGGAACCGCAGCTTCAACGCCACCGACGGCACATGGCGCAGCTTGTCGTAATGCTGCCGCTCTGCATAGAGAGAGAGAGAGAGACCCAGCAACGAGCCCGCGTGAGCGATCAAGGACCGAGCGGTGTGTGTGTGTGTGGTGTGTGAGTGCGTGTGTGTGTGGAAGGCGGTAAGAACCGATGTCGGTGGTGATGTCGACGTCCTCGGGGAGGAGGTCGAGGGGCTTCTTGCCGGACTTCTCGGAGAGGTAGTTGACGAGCTCGACGAGCTGCTCGTCCATGGCGCGTGTCCATCGCGAGGCCTTGCACCACTGGCCGGCCGTCTGCTCGGTGATGGCCAGCTCCGAGTCGTAGCCCAGCCGCTGGAGCTCGTCCCAGCTGTGCTTGGGGTGCTGGTAGGCCTCGCGGTAGTACAGCGCCAGGAAGCCCCGCAGCGTGAGACGCCCGCCCTCCGATTCGTACTTGTCGAGGAAGAACCGCAGGTCGTCGGCCGACAGCGGCTCGTTGGGGTGGCAGTGGACCTGCAGCACGTTGAGCTCCTCGGGCGACATGTAGCCCGGCTGGGACACGCCGAAGCGGTAGAAGACCTCCGTGTACACCAGCTCGGCCCGCTCGGTCAGCTTTCCGCCGTCGGTCAGCTTCGGCTTGTTCAGCTGCACAACCAAGAAGAAAATAGAATAGAACAATAATAATAATAAAAATGAGCACAACTTCGTGCAGAGATCAGAGGGAGTGGAGGGGCAAGTGGTGAGTAGTCGCGTACGGAGCTGAGTTGGGCGTGCTTGCCGAGGAAGAGCGAGCGCGGGTTCCACCGGGACTCGGCCAGGAAGGCGCGCGGGAAGTCCTTGTCGCTGAAGAAGCACCCGAGGACCTCGTCGAGCGCCGCCATGGCGTTGAAGTTGCGGATGCCCTCGCTCACCGCCGACTGCGTCATCACCGACTCGCTCGCCGAAAGCGTCAGCGAGGCCGGGAACGAGTCCTGTCACGCAACACACACGCACCCACACAAGAGCACACAAGAGCATAGAGAGGGTTAGCGACGACCGACCTGTCAAGGCACGGCGTTGGGGGGGGGGTGAAGAATGTACCGGCACGTCGTCGAGAGAGGCGGGGTAGAAGGAGAGGGCGTCGAGGGCGATGTTCTCCTCGACGCTCGCGGTGGCGAGCAGGGCCATCTTCCGCTTGAGGACGATGAGCTCGGCCAGGTTCTGGAGGTAGGGCGAATGCAGGAGGTCGACCTCGCACAGCAGACAGAAGAGCTCGTCCTCGAGCACCGCGGTGGCCTGCGCGAATCGCTGCAGGTCGCGCTTCAGGCCCTCCCGGCCCCGGCGCTTGGCCTGGGCCTCCTCCGCGCTCTTGCGGGGGCTCCCCGCCGTAGGCTGCTGCTGTTGTTGGCCGCCCGTGGCCTCGGCCTCGCCGCCGTCCTCCTTGTCGGTGATCTTACGCTTCCCCTTGCGCAGCCCGTGCTTGTTCCACTGGGCCTGGAAGTCGTCGATGGCCAGCATGAGCAGGCGCTTGAGCAGGCGCAGCACCACCGTCTTCACCACCTCGGGCACCTTGGCGGTCTATCATGGTAGTGCACGCGGAATGCGAGTTATTTCCAAGCGTTCAACAGTCGTCGCGCAATGCAAAAACAAGCAAACAAACAAAACGTACCCTGAGGTATTGGGTGAGCTGGACGTAAAGACGGCTGTAGAGGCCCCCGAGCGGCGGCTCGGCGTCGTCTTCCAGGGCCATAGGTTCGTAGTCGTCATGCTCGTAATTGGTCGGCGTGTGGCTCCTGGTACGGAAAATAAATGAATCGCCTTCTCCCTCCTCCGGACAAACTTGGGCCAAAGCGTACCTGACGGGATCCGCCTCCTCGGCCAAGAACTCGCTGATCCAGAGCGCCAGGTTGAGGAGCTCGTTGGTCGGAGTCACGTTCATCAGATAGCCCCACTGAGGTTCGTTGTTGGGCATCCCGCTCTGGCGCTGAGTACAGCGAGAAAGAGTAAGCGCCACGCGGAACAAGCCCAATTCGAGCAGAGGGTAGCAAGAGAGAGAAGACGGCGTGGTACCTGGAACTGCAGCCAGAAGCGATTGCTGGCGATGACCACCGGGTGGAATTGGGACAGCGAAGTGCCGGTGAAGCGTCGCAGAGGCTTGGTGCGCTTTTCGTCGAGATAGATCGTCAGAGAGTCGGCGTCGGACAGCTTGCAGCGTCTGGATGGTCGATAAACGAGCACACTGTGAGGTCCTCAATACGAAACGCGAGCGCATGAAAGATATGTCATACCGATCGAAGGTGATGACCAGGCCCATGGCGTCGGGGATGGCAAACTCCTTGACAAAGTCCTCCGTTCCGTGCGGGTGCTCGGACTCGCTGACCAGAGCATGATGGCTGGAGAAGGCCGCCGACTCCTTGAGAAGACTGGCCGACTCGGCCAGCAGGAGGTCCAGGAAATCCGTCTCCCCGGTCCTGATGAGAAAAAACATAACACAACGCAACCATGTCGCGCCACAAACGCGTGAGCGCCACGAGCCAAGACACTGACGTGAAAATAGAAGCGTACCTGCAGAGGCGCTGGAGTTGCGCCCAGAGGATGTGCATGATATCGCCGGCGGCGCTGCCGTCTTCGCCGGCTTGGCGCAGGTCGGGTATGGGTTGGGCCAGGTAGGCCTTGGCGATCAGGCGCAGGGCCTTC